GAGTCCTTGGCAGGATTATGACTGCCTACAGGATGCACAGAAATGGACATATTGAGCTAGCTATGCCAGAGATTTGCATATGCAGGCGGCAAATTAAAGACATTTGAGCGGTGAATTTCATGGTGAGTAGTTGACAGCTCTTGTTTATAAGAAAGATTGTAATGAGGGAAAAACACAGCCCACTTATGAGCTCAGACTCTGACTGAGATATGTTAGTTTTGCTGCAGTATGTAGTAGGAAAATTAAAGAATGAAAGACGGAAAGGAAAGAAAGAATGACATGGGGGAAAAGCCTTAGAGACACTTTTAAATCAAGGTTTGGGTTTATAGGCTTTCCTCCAAGCTTTCATTTGGTTTCTCTCATGAGTCTTTTTTATTTCTTCCTGATGTTGTCTTATACAAGCTGTTAACTTGATTCAGGCTGTAACTGCAAAGATCAATCATCCATAGAAGTCCTCGGCTTGACAAGTTAGGATGAGGAGCGATTTCCCTCAGAGCTATTTGTCATAGTCTTTCTTTGTATATGTTTAAAGAACAGTGTTTTCCTTGTGAAACCAGGCTTCCCACCAGATTGTGAAAGCTACCTGAAATAAAATGATGCATCTCTATACTCTAGCCACTTTCCACGGAATCTGATCCCACGCAGGTATTCATACCTGGGTTACCTAGGCAACGGCCCTTGAATAACTGTGGGTCAACAGTATTCTATTTCCAAAATTTCATACCTTCAGCTTTTATCTTAGTTATGTCCACATTTCTTGTTAACCCCAGGGAAGTCTTCAGCTGACTTGTTTTGAGGCAATAGACAATGTCTTTTGCACAAGAGCTCTATAATTTTGTCTTTAAATCCAAACCAGTAGGTGAAGCCTTAGGGCATCCTTCTTTCCTTCTTCCTCCATCCTTCCCTCCCCCTTCCCTTCCAGGTTTTCTCTCCCTCCCTACCTCCCGCCCCACCTTTTTATGAATAAGTTTTCTTCTGTAAAATCTTGGGTTGAGGGATCCAGACTAAATCCTACAGCAATAGAGATTTCCGATTCTGCAGGGAGTCCTAGAAGAATTAGAAATTCTGCATGGCATGGATATTAGAAAGAGTGTAAGAACAAACTTTCAGCTTGGGGATTGTTTACCTTGCAGTTTACAAAGAAAAAGAGCAGTAAAAACTGAGAATGAATGCCTAGGAGTACTATTTGACATATGGCTTGAGGAAGGTCCTATATCATAAATGGATAGACTTGGGAAATACTTAAAATGAAAAAGCATGATTTTTAGAATTTGGGATAGGGGAGACATTGTGTTTAGGATGAATGACCTGGATTATAACATTAAAATACCAAGCTTATACCTAGAACAGATAGTTGATCTCTTTGATATGAGGATTTCTAAAAGTGGTCCATCTCTCTTTGCCTACTGGCAACTTATATTTGATATTATTCTAATAATCAAGATTAACTATTTTGGTACAAAGATGTCCCACCCTTATTAGAAATGAACACCATTCGTGGCAAGGAGTAGGGTAAAATGTCAAATATTATTATTTATTTACCTGTCTGTGCAAATTATTTAAGTAGATTATTTTCCTCGGAGTTTTTTTTTAAGAATTTTTAAAAATATTTATTTTTTAGTTCTCGGCGGACACAACATCTTTGTTTGTATGTGGTGCTGAGGATCGAACCCGGGCCGCATGCATGCCAGGCGAGCGCGTTATTGCTTGAGCCACATCCTCAGCCCTCAGAATTGTTTTTGTCCCCATTAATGGGGGGACAAAGAGAGCTGGGCTAGAAATTTGAAGGCAAACTTTGCCTATTGGATAATTTTGCCAAAGATGGATCCTGATCAAGGCTTTAAATAGAGCCTTTTCAAAAACATAGTAATATAAAACATTTCATTTGTGCTACATATCTCCTCTTCATTGTTTATTCAACAAATATTTGTTGAATATTTACTATGTGTCATGCATCATACAAGGCACTGGAGATACAAAAATGAACAAATGTAAGTGGAGGACTTACAATCAAGCATAGATTATTGTTTTCTCCCCCCTAATATACTTGATTGCTTTTCCTGATGAGACTTCTTGGCCAGGTCTCTATACTCCCCACCCTTTTTTTTGTAGTTACAGTCCTAGCATAACTGTAGCATAGAAAGAAAGAGGGGCCTTCACATCATAGGTACATGATAGAGGATTTTAGGCCCAAACCAATCAGGAACTGGATTTTCCACATAGAAGTAAGTAGAAACCATGTGGGGATATCCAACTCTAGTAAGAAACTTATTGGAGCACCAAAGGGAAGGTGATAAACTCAGAATGCAGCTTAACAATTGCAGAGGTTTGGGAAAGTAACTGCCTGGAGAAGTACAGAAGCCCAGGATTAATGTATGTCAGAGAAGACATAGACATGGCAGGTCCTATAGTCCATTTTAGAGGGAACAAAAGAGAGACATAGAGGAGGGGAACAATTTGTCTAATGTCAAATGGTGGGTCAGTGGTAGAGGTGGATCCTGGACCCTAGTCTTCTGATTCCCAGCATACTTATTTATTTTGGGTGTGGGAGCAACAGGGATTGAACTCAGGGGCATTTGACCACTAAGCCACATCCCCAGCCCAATTTTGTATTTTATTAAGAGACAGGGTCTCAGTTGCTAAGTGCCTCACTTTTGCTGAGGCTGGCTTTGAACTCGTGATCCTCCTACCTCAGCCTCCCAAACTGCAGGGATTAAAGGCATGTGCCACCAAGCCCAGCCCCAGTATACTCCTCTTTTACAGTTGTATTTATTGAAAGATAATTACATGCTTATCATTGCCATTATCATTCTAACTTCTTTAGCTCTTTATCTCACAAGAATGAAATTAAATCTACCCCTATTTTGCAGATGAAGAAATTGAGAATTGAAGCTATTATTCTAAAGGATATACTCCCCAGACTTCCATTCTTAAAGACAAGCATTGGCTTTACATAGAACGCAGTGTAACTAGTGGCCCCAATCCCAAGATATGCAAACATTAGGCCTTGAGTCATGGGCAAGTGTGCCATCCCAGATCTGGGCTTAAACACCAGTGGCAGATTTCTTCTAGTTGAATATTGAATTTCTGATGGCTCTTTCTAATTTATTCTGTCCCTCCCCTTCTTTATCTAATTTAATTTTCATGAGGGACTAAGGAATATTTTTAAGATCACAAGTGAGTCATTGAAACTCGATTTGAGTGGCATAGAAGGCATTATACTGGTAGCTCAATGACTTTATAGAATAGGGGCTGTCTGTAAGCATAGTACAGTGCTCCATCAACTGGTGTGCAAATTCCCCTTCTAAAATGCTGTGCCTTAGGCAAGTTACTTACTCTTTCTGAGTATTGGATTCCTCATCTATAAAAGAATGCCACTACTATATATAACCATAAAGCTCTAATAAGAAAAAAAAAATTTAAATGATGATTATGCCTACCTCTATGTTCTGTGATGAGGGGTTTTCTTTTTGTTTTTAAATTAAGATTATACATGAAAAGAATGTAGCCCAGAGTTTGACCCTTAGCAAGAACTCAGTAAATTTTATCTTTGTTATTCCATATGCTAATTTCTAACTTAAATGTACAAATTCTGGGGAAGAACCTGTCAGACTGGTGTATTGGGGGAGAAGAGGCAGTCAATTATCTTCTTAGTCCATTTTGTGTTGCTATAACAAAGTAACTGATGCTGGATACTTTATGAAGGAAGAGGCTAATTTAGATTGCTGTTCTGGAGACAGGGAAGTTCCAAATCAGGCAGTTATATCTGGTGAGGTCCTCATACTCCATTATAACATGGTAGATGGCATAGCATGGCAGGCATGCATGAAAGAGTAATGAGTGAGTGCATGTGAAAGAGAGGCCACATGGCAAGAGACTGAGGACTCACTTTGTAAGAACACACTCTTTTGATATCTAATCCATTCCTGTGATAGTGAGAACTCACTCGCTAAAAACAAAACAACAACAATAACAACAACAAAAACCCTAATCCCTTTTATCAGCCTAATCACCCCTTGAAGGTCTCACTGCCTCTTGCCATTACATTGGAGATCACCCTTCCACATAAGTTTTGGCAGGCCCAAGCCACATCCAAACCATTGCAACTCCCTTGCTTTATTGCTGTGAATAGGGTTCAACTCCCTATATAGAGTTGCCTTCCTTTTTGCTCCCTCCTAGTGGTTGAAAGAGTGAGAGCCTATAAGGACAGGGACATACAGTTCAGTATCCTTATTATAATACAGACCATAAACAGGGACCCTTCAATGCTACTCCAGAGGAGCAGTTGCTTCTAGAGTACCCTGGCTCCCAAATTTTGCCAAGACACAGAAAAGACTGGGGCTGGAGGAAGGTGGGAAGAGAAGCATGTGGCTCTTGAATAGAGCCTGGCTTGTAATCTACAACTTATACTTCATTGTGCTTCAACATAGCACACCAAATAGATCTATTGGAAGAGGGGAAGAGGTTGGACTATATTATCTTTGGGGTTCTAGGAATAAATTTGAGGTATTACGCACATAACCATCTCAGAACTGCTGTTCTACTACCTCCAAAGCATAGTTGAAGTTCCTCCCTTGCATCTTACACACCACTCAGCCTCTGGCTCATGCTAGTTTGTGATAGCTCCTTCCTCAAGTCTTTCTTGACCATTATTTAAACTCGACTTCACCTGTGTATGAAGTTGGGCATAGCATTATGGTGGGTCTTTAAGATTTATCAAATGTAAGCTGGATGTAGAGGTACATGCCTGTTATACCAGTGATTTAGGAGACTGAGGCAGGAGGATGGCAAGTTTGAAGCCAGCCTCAGCACCTTAGTAAGACCCTGCCTCAAAATAAAAAGTCAAAAGAACTGGGGATGGAGCTCAGTGGTGAAGCATCCCTGGGCTCAATCCATAGTATGGCAAATAATAATAATAATAGTAATAATAATAATAAAAGGTTCACAGGTGTGTCCCAGATTTGTGTCTTGAGTAGTCAGGGTTTCTCACAAAATTAGGGATGAGAGTCGAGGTAACTGGGTAGTACAGGCAGAACTGTTGCTAGCAATACATAACCAAGTGAACTTGACCAGCGCATACCAGTGCTGATTGTCACTGAAGAGGGTCATGTCATTATTTTGATATGTGATTAGAATTAAGAATTTACTAAGACTTTTCCTCATTAACATCTCTCCCAAGCAATTAATTTTTCTTATTATGTCTACTGAGGTTATTCCTGATCTTGGATCAACTTGGATGTGTTATTAATTCATTTCACAAACATTTATCTGATGCCTACTAGGTGCTGGGCACTTGCTAGGCATTACGGCTGTAAATGGACTCTCTAGGAACTTGCAGTGTTTAGTGGGCTCTGTTCTCCATTGATAGTTGCTGTCATTGTCCTTCATTCCATATGGTTAGAACTATGAGGTCCTGCAAGTATAGAGATGTCAGACAGTTCTGTATTCTTGCTGCAACACAGATCAGAAATAGAGACAGTTTATAATTAGACTGATACCTCTCTAATGGGTACAAGTATGAGGCACTGATGGAAATACAATGAACTCGATCTGGGGATGTTAACTAAAACTTCACAAAGCAGGAACACTTCAGTATGATCTGAAAGGCAGAGTTCATCAGGAGAACCTGAAAGGGGAGAATGGGAAGAAGGAAGAGGGGATTCCAGGAAGAGTGAGTGGCATTTTCTGAATCCTAGGCTTGACAGCTGATGGAACACATGTCTGAAGAACTACGTGATAATTACTATAGCATGAAGAAAGAATGAGGGAGATGGGTTGTGGGGAAAGACAAAGGCCAGAGACTTTGCATATGTCATCCTGAAAGAGTTCTGTATGTTTGCTGACTCTACTTCATTAATTCCCATGTATTTTGTATTCATCGTGGCCTGTCAACTTGCATCCTTACTCTCTGGGTCCAAATCCAATGGATACCTTTCTATCTTTAGCTTACTTGACTTCTTGGCAGAATTTGATGTTCATAAACACTTTCCATCCTCAGAGTTTCATCTTCCTTGCACTGGAAACTACCATTATCTTCTGGATTTTGCTGCTTTTCTGGGCTTTTAAGTTTTCATTATGACCTCTTTTCTCTCTAACTGATCCTAAGTGTTGTGGGTTCTCACAGTTTTGTCCTTGATTTTTAAAATTTTTTTTTAGTTGTAGATGTACATAAAACCTTTACTTTGTTTATCTATTTATATGCTGTAGTGAGGATTTAACCCAGTGCCTCACACATGCCAGGCAAGTGTTCTACCTCTGAGCTACAGCCCTAGCCCCTTGTCCTTGATATTTTTAATCTTGGAGGAATTCATCTTCATTCCTCTAAGTCTTCACTACTACTCTCTTGGTCTAGCATCATTTCTCATGTGGATTACTATATCACCTCCAAATTGGTCTCCCTGCCCCTGTTATCTTACCCCCTTCGAACCCATTCTCCATACTGCTGCTAGAGTGAACCTTTAAAACGGAAATATGATAATACCATTTCTTTACTTAAAACCATTGTCTACAGGGTTGAATCATGGCATAAGGGACTTTTAGTGATCTGACCATTGCCTTGGCTGATATCACAGACCCAAATAGAACAAATGCTTTGGAATTCTGAGAATATAACACCATAAACATATTTGAACCTCTGAGTGTTTCTGTATATTGTTCCTCTTGCCTGAAAGCCTCTTAGCTAACTTGATTTTTCAGTACTCAATCTAGAGAGGCCTCCCTTCTCTTCCCTCCTCTCTTTCCTTCTAATCTGGGTTTAGGTAATCCTCCTTGTCTTCTTTTATGTGCACTGTCTCAACCACATTCTACTCTGTATCACCATTATCTGTTTATACTCCTCTCTCTCCAGGAAGGTATTTGGGGGAGAAATGGACATATATAAAACTGCAGTGATGACAATAATATGACCAATATAGTGCTAATGAAGTGCCAGGCTTTTTTATAAGCACTTGTTATATATTAATCCAGGTTATCATCAAAACACATTGCCAGGTAGACAGATATTACTTTAGTTGAATCAACAGGACTTGATGATGGATTTAAGGTGAGGTATAGGAGAAGGAGTTTTGGTAATTCCAAGAATTTGTGATGGAAACACGTGGGTGAACAATGGATGAGATAAGGAATACAGGAAGAGGAGGATTTTTGGTTGGAATGGGGGACAGGATCTTTCAATTTGGGACACTGCCATTCTTTTATAGTTGATATTTCCGGAAGTTTCAGAAATCATATAAGTTACAACATTTTTGTCTGAATGACAGGCATTGGAAGCACCACTGTCCATCTCAAAATACCCTCTGTTATTTTGTCATTAGCTTGCTGGAATCAGGAAGGATATATTCCTGGGACCCTGGCCATTTATTTTCCTTATGCTTTGGTTTGCAGTTCCCAGCACTGTCAAGAAACCATGGCCTTGCATCTTTTAAGCTCAAGTGGTGCTTGTGCCTCCTGGCCCATATGTCTCTCCTGCAGCAGGTGTGGGCATTCTCTGTAGAGGTAGTAGTGGTGGGCCCTTGTGCTTGAGATCCCTTGTTCTCAAAGGCCCTGCCTGAGGTTGCTGTTCAATTAGCAATTAAGCGAATCAACCAGGACCCATCATTAGACCCTGGTTACTCTTTTGAATATGTGACTCTCGATGAAGACTGCCAGACTTCAAGGGCCCTCTCCAGTTTCATTTCCTACCACCAGATGGCCTCAGGATTTATTGGCCCTGCCAACCCTGGCTACTGGGAAGGAGCGTGGCTCCTGGGAAACAGCTGGGACAAAGGGATTTTCTCTTGGGCTTGTGTGAATCATGAACTAGACAATATAAAGAGCTACCTGGCCTTTTCTTGGACACTCCCTTCTCCCATCTGGGTGCTTTTAACTGTCATGAAATATTTCCAGTGGGCTCATGCTGGAGTAATTTCCTCAGATGAAGACATTTAGTTGCACACAGTAATCAAGTCGCAAGTGCTCCTCGGAGCCACAGCCCACCTGTAGGGGTCGTCCTGACCACAGGACAAGACAACCGAAGCATTCAAAAAGCTCTTCAGTGGATTCTCCAGGCAGACAGAATTCACAGTGAGTGCTTTCTCTCAACTGAGGTTTAAACGTGGTTTCAGTAAAAGATATCAAAACCTCCACAAGGTTTTCTGCCCTTACACCATAGGCTAGTACATTCTTCCCTAGTTCTTTACATGTTTGCCCTCTTTCACTCACACTTAGACCCCAAGTCTCCTGTTTCCACAAAACCTATCTGATAGATTTAATAGAGGTACAAATAACTCCGACTCAAATGCCTTGGGGGTCATTGCCTGCTCTCAGCACCTGGGTGGACAAGAATGGTATCAAGAGTCCTGTAGCCACACATTCCCTCTGTCCTTAGAACCCTGGTAGTTTTAGAGTATCCAAAAGAAGATGTTCTTATGGCTTCATTTTGGTCTACTTTAACTCAGGGGAGATTTTTCTTTGAGTCCCTTCTAGGCATTTTCCTTCCTAGGTACCCAGTGCCCTTGTGTTATCACATCTCACTCAGATCCTGTCTTTCTCCACACTTCCTATGATTCCCTATCCCCCCAAACGGGCTTGTCTCCCTGCAGCATACAGCTAATTGATACAGAAGCATCTAAGTTATAAATGAAAGCATATAAAATTGAGAAGACTGCCAAAATATTAACATGTTTTCCCTTACATGGAAAGTTTAATGTTCAAAGATGATTCTTGAAAATACTGGGTAGGGAATTAGAGCAAATTATATTCCATGCTTTTATAATTATGTCAAAATGAATCCTAATGTTAGGTATAACTAAAAAGAACTAATAAAATGTTTTTCATGGACTATAAAAAAGATAATTCTTGCAGAAACAATGGCACATTGTGAGGCAAAGAACTTGACCCATCGAAGCTACAGTCACCAAGGCAAATTGAGTAGAATTTGAGGGTGGGGAGGCTTCCTGGTCCTCTGGAGTCAGACCTCTTTTACTTACACTTACCACAAGCCCTTGTGACACTTGATTTTGATCTTTTTCTATTCTAGTTTTTTTTTAGTCTCCACTTTACTTTTTCTGGAAGCGACAGTGATTTGTGGGAACACTGTTCATTCACCCATTGCAGCCATTCCACCACTTTAGGAAGGATAGCTCAGAAACTCCTTGTCAAACTGATTACTTCTAGGATTAGTCCTGGTCCCAGTCATTTCCTCAACATAACAATAGGCTTGTTAGATAGAGTATGGTCCAGCTTAGGGCTGGCTTATAACCAGAAGCCCATTTTAAGTTTCAAGTGTCTCCAGTATAGGACCTTAATTATGATCATTATGAGAGGATGAGGGCAAGAGATTTTAGTTCCAGGAACTACAGTAGTCTGCTTCCAGCTCCCCTCTACAAGATCCTATAATATTAAGCAATCAGTGTGGCTCTGATTACTTCATAATAGAGCTTGATATTTCCAATGCAGAGTGCAGAATTATTTTTAAAGATATAAAACCATTTCCAGAGAGGAATCATGCCAGAAACAGGCTAACATATTTAGTATCGTAACTTTATAATATGTTACAAAGCTTCATGAAGCCCAGTGTCTCTTGCAAGTTTACATTCCATGAGTGTTTCACATCCCACCCATTCTAAATAGTATACTTTGAAATGACATTTTGGCCTCTACCATGAAATGTTAAATAAATCCAGGCCCTGAGGCTCTTTAGGCTGTCAGACTGAGAGGAATTAGGATTGAGTGCTCACCACCCACAACCCCTTTGAGGGAGGGAGGGAGGAAGCAAATGTATATATTATTGCCCTACCATTAGAGATCCATTCCTTTAGGTCAAGGGTTCTCACTCTGACTGCATGCTAGAATTGTGTGGACTTTCCAAAATGACTGTTGCCAGAGTGCCACCTCTAGAGATTCTGATTAAATTGGTCTGTGGTGGGGCCCCAGAAAAGGCCTTTTAAACAGCTTCCCGGGTGTTTCTAAAGTGTATTCAGAGTCCAGAACCACTGTTTTAATTAATTCGTTAATGAAAATGCAAATGGATGTTCCTTACTTGAAGTGGCCAGTCATTTTTGTCTTAATATGACTTTGTTTCACAGATTTTTTTCTTTGTAACAGTTTGGATCAGCCCACTAAGGAATGGAAATCTGGAGATTAAGAGGAAAAAAACCTAGAAAAATGATTATGGAGAAAAGAAAGACTCTGAGTAGTAAGAACAACAGAACATGGAGGAAGAAATCAGAAAGTGTGATAAAAGGGAGAAAAGATCAAGTTCTGCACTTAGGATGTTTTTCCTCTGGTTTCTGACAAAACAGGCAGATTCAGATGAGGCATATGGGGGACCTCAGTGACTTGAGTCAGAATATGAGTAGGGGTGGGGAAAGAGAAACTGAGTTGTCATTTGGGTTGCGGACTGAGTATGGGGTGACCTCAGGCAGCACAAAGTTCAGTGTTCAAAGGGGAGTATATGATACCCACAACTGGTACAGCTGGGTGTTGGTATCTGAGGGCATGCCAACTGGTGGGTGAGATGTGGTAGTGGGAGTTGTGGAAGAGAAGTGTTAGAGTAAAATACACCTTAGCATTGTAGGCCACTGGGAGCATGGATGCAGGATCCAGAGAATGAACAAAAATAGAGTATTACAGCTCTAGTCAGGTGGCCTAAAATTTAGGGCACATTTGTAGACCTATTAGAAAACTGGAAATCAAGTGAGAAACAGCCAGTGAGTATGGATCAGGCCAACATCACAGTGAGGAACATGACAACACACCAAGTATAGCCCACACCAGCCCAAATCTCTAGTGAATTTTCCATCTCTTCTCAACTAGTGGGACAGAAGCTGCCAAGTATCCCTGGCTGTTATCTATCTCAAACAAGAACAAAACAAACAAACAAACAAAAAAAAACAACACTGGGATTTTTGTGTGACCTCAGCTGAGATAGGCCAAGAAAGGTAGGATCTACTTTCTTCCATATTTTGCTGGCTATGAGGCAACTTCTTAATGCTGTGGACCTCCAAGTTAACCTTCAGAGAAGGACTCTTTGTGGCATACAAAATTCAGTGGAAAGGGGCCTTTTCATTTGGAGGGGCTTGGAAATATCTAGGATAATAGAAGTAGGCAGCAGGTCAGTGGTGATGGGGAAGGAGGGGAGAGAGTAGTGGGCTATTACTAGCTGGTATGCCACTTCTGTTTCTTATAATATTAGTGGTTAGGAAATATAGCTGGCACCTTATTGGGGTTAGAGGACGTTCTTTCTCAGAAACAGGCCTAAATCATGTTTACACAGTACCAAGGCAATGATAATCTTAATTGTAAAGTAATAGTAACAATAATAATAGTTTTAGGCACTTAGAAAGGGAAACGACATGTTTCCATAGAGACAATTAAAGCAACCATGACACTACATGCAAACAACACTCTACAGCTTATAATGCTTGGCACATAGACCATTTCATTATTTATCTCTCAAAATTATACAGGAGATAGGAATTTTCTCTCAAGTTTTACAACACTTGTGAGTCTCACAAGAACAAGTAGAGAGGAATAGGCATTATTAACATCAAAGAATGGGGTAAAGTCTAAGAGAAGGGGAATTCAGCCTCTTTCAGAGTCTCAACTTATTTCCCGTAAGCCATGGGAGTGATTGCAATTATCTTTATTTTTAACAAAGTCAAATAAAAGAGATATTGATCAAAGACAAAAACCTCAATTTGTAGTCAGGGATACAAAGTGGGATTATATAGGTTGTGTCCTTTACAAGAGAACTTAGCTGAGTGGGCATGAGGGCCCAAATCCAGTCCATTCTCTGCTCCTCAAACCATGAGCCCTGCTGGAGGTTTTTGTCTGATGGCACAAAAGAGCATTCACTCACCAAGCAGAACACCTGTGGGATTGCATTCACCCAGGAGGGGTTCTTTTTCTCATTTCTACAAAGGTAGCAGGAGACCCTACCTTTAGCTCTTTAGAGAACTTTTCAATTGGCTATTTCAAGCCCTCCTGCTTTCTCCTCACCTTCTTGCCTACCATCCCTATGCTTGGCTGATTGTGAAATCCTTTCAATTTGAGCTTACCCAGCTGTTGGACCATTTTGAGCTCCCTTTAAATCCTTCCAAATTGAGAACACTTCCTTACAATATGACATAGAACTGCCATCTCTTGTTCTTCCAAAATTAGAAACCTTATTGCTATCTTTATTGCCAAGAACCTGGCTAGCTTCTTTCCATCTGTCAAAGACTCTTGTGCATAAAACAATAAAATAACAACAAAACAACAGTGATGATAGCTAATATTTATTGACGGTTTATTATGTGCTAGTCATTTTGCAAAGGCTTTATATGAAGCATTTCATTTAATTCTTGCAATGCCCCTGTAAAGGAAAGCCAATTATTGTTTACCAACTTTATGGATAAGACTTCTGAGGCCAACTTGCCAATGTCACACAGCTAGTGTATGGGAAATATGCATTCAGGTTGGTCTAAAGCACATATTCTCAAATATAAGTGTGCACCAGAATCCCTGGAGGACTACAGCATAGATTTCAGAGTGTCTCCCACAGGTTCTGATTCAGGAAGGGTGAGGTGAAGTTTGAGAATTTTCATTTCTAGCAAGTTCCAAAGTGATATTGATGCTGATAATTCAGGGACCACACTTTGAGAACTGGTTTAATGAAAGACACATGCTCTACTGCCTCCTGTCCACTTGAGGTATGCTTCTAAAGCATACTCACTTGTGATGCTGAGTTCTGTATATGACATATAATGTATCCCTTCTATTTTCCTATCTTAACTTTTGGGTCTACCAATGAAATTCTTTTAAGTGCCTCAAAGGGTACCAGGTGCCAGTACTGTTTTACTCTAGTGTCAGTAATAGTAATAATAATAGTGATATTCATAATACAAGGCCAAAGGCCTTAGTGTTAATAGGAAACTTGGTTTGGTATCTTTTGTAGATTAATATAAGCAAATATAAATGGTAAAAGGACAACTTGCTTTTATGAATGGATCCACTATCAGTAATGATCAAATTATTAAAGACCCAGGATAAGGGGAAATATCTAAACATCTAGGCTTCCTGCATTTCAGAGGCTTACCAATATATAGCAGTTTAGGAAAAGCTGGAGAAGACATATGTTGCAAAAAGGGGAGAAATATTATAAACTTGTCTCAAGCTGGGAAGCAATGTTAAAGCAATAAATTCAGTTGCAATACTAGTTTAATCAGTCATGAAAAAGAATATAACCATGGTCCGATGCAGATAGACTACTCAATGAATGTATATATGTCTTCCATCATGCTGAGCTATTTGGATCAGTTCAACACTGGTGGCAGTTAAATGGTGGCCTCAGGAATTAAGGCAGAATACATGTGAGGTCTTGTCAAGTGATGGGGAAAGCTGCACCTCGCTTAGTGTAGTGTTCTTAAAGTGTACTGAGTCACATTGGGAAATGAGGCCACCTGTACCGAATCACTCTTGGGGGATAGTGCTGGGAAACATTCAGATTCCAGAGCCTCCCACCCTCTTCTTATTCAGCCATTTTTTAAAGTGGATGGAAAAAAAAGGTGGAGAGGAAGAGACTTTGAACCTCTTTCATTCACAATATGGTCAGATAGGGAAATGAGAGACTTAAGATAAATCTGCATAAGTCCCTCCTCCTCTGATCTGCTCTCCCTGTTCCTCAGCAACTGTTAAAATAGATTGAAATTAATGTCAGGAAATATCACAGAAGGATTCATATGAAGAATGAAGACTGTATAATGGGGGTTTCTTTGCATTGGGGTCAATGCTGAGGGCTCACAAGTGTGAATATCATTCCTAAGGACTTCTTCAGCATTAGTTAGTGGAACTATTTTCATCTCAACAAGGTGCAAGATGAGGCTGAGTTTCCTTTGTGGAGACCTCCATGCCAGTAATCCATGAGACATGAAGCAAGCTTGCCTTTTTAGAAACATCGGGTCCTCTATCTCAGAGAAATAATGGATAGAGTATTTCATTAGAGGAAGATAAAAAGAGTGACTTGGGAATTGGCTTTTCTTGGAGTTTTATGACTTTTTCTGCTGGTAGCATTGCAGGTGAGAGAGGATCCTACATAGCCAGCCATAGTCAGCCCCACAGTATAAACACATAGCTGCCAGACAGCTTGAGTGGGACTCAGGTAGCCCAGAGAAAGTGTTACTATATCCTGGTAAGATGTGATCTAAGGAGTGTGCATTTCCTGGTCCATGTTTTGGCTATAGAGTGGCTTGACTGTTAACAATTAGGATGGAAAATTATGAGTTAGTATTATTTGTTGACCAGCTGTTGACCCAAGTCTTGTCTAGGTTTTAAGGTTTCTGCATACTAATCCTTTCCTGACAACAACTTATGGGTCAAACACCATTTTAATGAATGTAATTTTGAGATAATAAAGCTATTTAGTAAAACCATCTTGTAGAACAGATGCATCTATAAATCCCTGTTCACAAAGCACTCAATCTATTAAATTAAGATGCTGTTGTTTGAATTCAGTATTTATGATTTCTACTTTAATTGTGTTCAATGGCAAGGACTTTCCATGTTAAAAAAAAATCAAGAAGCCTGTGATCATTCCCTCTTGAGGCTTCCATTTCTTCATCTAAAATGTGAAGGGAACAGATTGGACTAGATGGTCTCAGAGAGCATTTCTAATTATAAAAATATGGATAAATTTTACATAAGATTCAGATAAATGCCTTTATCTGAAATGTTAATAATGTGAGCCAAGGAAAGAAAAATAGAGAAGTATTCAGGTTGAGGGAGTAGAGTCTTGGATAAATTAATGACACTAGGCATTAAAGACAAGTTTGGTCTCTAATTGCCCAACAAGTTATTACTTCCTCCATCTTAACAATCCAAATATGCCCATATCTCACTTCTCAAGAGACCTGTACAAATCATACAAGTTCACACCTCTCCTCCTGAAGAATCTTTAGTATTTAAATATTCATTTAAACAACATTCAATGTGTGCATAATATGTAACAGGATATGAAAAGTTTTAAAAATGTCTTTTGACCCCAAGAAGCTCATAGTTTCATAGTAGAAACTGATATAAATTAAAAAGGCTGATAAATCTTTAAGAACCATGATAGAAGTCAGCTCAGGGTATGGTGAGGGTCTAATTCAGCATTACAAGTCAGTTTCCCTGGAAAACAGTCTGATGATGGAGTTTTGAGTAATGAAGGAAGATTATTGGGTGAATGCTTTTGAGGATAACAACTGTGAGGGAGAATTGGATTGGGCAGAGAGAACTGAACTTCCATACAGTCACAATGAAGCCCTCATTCTGACCTAAATGGAGGATGACCCTTCAGTGTTGTCCAGAACTGAGTTGAGGAGTCTGGGCATTTCTAGTTCCATGATGGTGGAATGAGATGGACATCATTACCTTAGGTACATATATATGACTGCACATATGGTGTGATGCTACATCATGCACAACCAGAGAAATGAAAAGTTGTGCTACAATTGTGTACAATGAATCAAAATGCATTCTGCTGTCATATAGACCTAATTTAAATAAATAAATTAATTAAAAAACAAACAAAAACCCTCAACAACAACAAAAACAGCAATAGTGATTATGGAAATATCTCCCATCCTCCCTTCCCAGTTATTAGGTGCAGGATAGCCCAGAGAAAGGCACATGTTGTGATAATACTTAATAACCATCTCTGGGGGTTGTGGTGTGGGGAAGCCCTGATGTGTTAGTGTTTGATGATTTTCACTGTGATCACTCCCACCATGGCCAATTTCAGGCTACCAATATTATGTTAACTGGCTTATAGAATCCCTAATAATTTAACTACAGACCCTTGTGAATCAGCCCAAGGTAGCATTAGCACACAACTGAAGAGATGTGACCTTGAGAAAGGTGGTTCTCCTTCCTGAGGGCAGTTCTCAGTGAGATATTAGTTGCTAACATTCCCAGCAGCTAGGGGGATGAGTGCTTCAGTTCTGAAGTGTGTATCTGGATGGTACATCATAATAGCACCCACTACATCTGCTTAAGTATTTGCTGTATTTCAACCAGCACAAAGCACTTAGTTCTATTTAACATTTTCTATGCAGCAAAGTAATTTTAATATCCCTTAAGGAAATTAAATGGAATTGTATTGGGTAACCTTGATCAGGTCATTTAATTTCTGGCTTTCTAGAAGAAAGATATTAGCATACTTACTTAACTGCCAAGAATACTGTTGAATGAGCTGGCCAACTAACTGAAGCACACAACTTAGCTAATTTTTTCCCTTCAATAGATTTGTGACTAAACTAACTTGACCAAACAGATTCATGTTTAATGGTGTAGCCAAATATAGAGGGTGATGTCTTCAGTTCTACTTTTTCTTTCTAAATCCAACTCTTTACCTTTTCAAACCTCTATGGCACTACATCTTCCCATTTTGCAATGTGTGATTATGAAAAACTGAGGCTGAATACCTCCTGTGGCTCATGAAGTAGTGCCAAAGATATCTTTAGAGAATTGTAAGGAAGGTCTGAACATTAAAATACTTGTGGAAACTTAGGGTATTTATTTAGAAGGAGCTAGTGGTCATTTGAGAATTCAAGTTATACTGTGTTTTTTGTGTGTTTTGTCTAAATCATCTTCATAATTTACTAGTTACATTTTTTAAAAATGAAGTATATCATCTGTAGTATGAGAGGCAAATTTTCTGGGAGTATTTAACAAGTGTAAAGAAGCTTTTTTTAAATAGATGAAGTAATATATAAATGCCAAAGACCAGTCATTGAACATAGTTAAGCACACTTAGTTCCTGAGATTAAAGGTTCCCTGTAAGTGTGTATAATTAATATTTACCAGTGGCAATAAGATTTCTGCCTTCCTTCAAGGAGCTCAGAATACTTGCCAGGCATTATCTAATTAAACTACTCAATGTACCTGTGAAATGCATTGGAATCTACATTTTAAAGATGTGGGCACTGAAGCACAAGTGGGCTTAAACTAAACTCATTTAGCATGCCAAGGACGAAATTGGATATAAGACTTTCAGTCTCATGATCTAGCTGCCATTCTTCAACCGTGGCCCCCTCTAATCCACTCTATTCTAGCATAGCCTTGCCAAACAACATAGTTTCATAAGTCTAGGAAGAATTAAACTGAGTGCAAAGTAATTCCAATTACAGGGAAGTTCGATTTAAAAGGTTGAGCACATCACTCATAATATTAGTAGCATTTATAGATGAACGTGTGTTAGTGCCATTCAATGTCTATAATGGTCTTGATAAGGGTGAGAACAGGTGGCCAAAATGTACTCGAGTACATGTTTGTAGGAGGTGAACAAAGAAAAGCAAGGGGAGGGAAGGTAGGGAGAGTGCATGGGGGCAGGAAAGATGGTAGAATGAGATGGACATCATTACCTTAGGTACATGTATGACTGCACATATGGTGAGACACTACATCATGTACAATCAGAGAAATGAAAAGTTGTGCTAAAATTGTGTACAATGATTCAAAATGCATTCTGCTGTCATATTGTCCTAATTAAAATAAATTAATTAATTAAAAAACAAATAAAAACCCTCACCAACAACAACAAAAGCAATAGTGATTATGAGATCCTCTCCTTCTAGTCTTCTTATTCTTAGGTATGAGTGTAGTTGCTATTTATTGAGTACTATGTACTAAACCCATTATATGAATCATCTTCAATCATCACTACCTCTCTATGAAGTACATACTGTTACCTCTATCTATTCACAGATAATGCAGAGAAAAGTTAAGTAATGTACCAAAGGTTATACAGCTATTACTTGGTGTTATGATATGAAACTATCCCTCCCAACCCTAAAGCCTCTTTGTTATGGTATCTCACATTTATTTTACCAGTAATTGTTCCTATGAGTGTTAAGCTCTTGCTCCATTACCCAAAACAGAGTCCCTGGGTATATACCCAAATTTCAGACCTCAATTTCTTACCCATAAACATAAGAAAGAAATAATTTACAATTTGGTTAGAACACATTTATTCATTTATTTATTTCTCCAGTTTATAGTGTTTTGGCACTATATTTCACTAACATATTGCTATCTTAACCTCTTTGCTTTGTTGGTTTCAGTAATCATAATGTGTATGCATTCCACCTTGATTGGGGGAGAGACCCCAACACACTTCTTGGAATGGACTAATGATCTGAAAATGTTCTATGGAACTTTTGCCTTTGTTCCTTATGATACTCTGCTCTACAGTTTACCTTATAAGCACATCCCCTACCAGGTCCTCAGGAACAACCCAAAGCATATGATGCTGTATTGACCATTTCAGTGGAGTCCCAAGGAAAGACCTTCCATGAAGCCTATACAGAAGCAGCAGTATTAGGGGTGAAATTCATTATATGCTGGAATAAGATCAAGTAAGCGCAGACTCACAGTTATTATGAGTTGAGAACTTAAAAAATCTGGAAAGTAACCATCTTTTCCAATCAATAGGAAACCCAATCAACAGCAGGCAATCACACACAAATTAAAACACCTTTTGTTTGTAGAAACACTTGAAGAACAAACATACATTCTTGGAAATATTTCAAGCAACCCACAATGATAGCACAGTCAATGAAGAATAAACAAAATATATTTAAGAACAGAAAAATAAAACTTTAACATATACAAATGCTGTTCAAGGGGACCTAATAAAATAGAATTTTTATTTGTGACTGGAATTTTGAACCAGTTCAGCAACCAGACTAAAGAGCTTATATAGAAAAAAACCCATAAACTTTAATGTTGATAATGCTAATATTTGGAGGATGTGGACTATTTCTGTAGGCATTTGAGCTTCTGAATACTGAACATTAGGATTAAGCAGACTTCAACTAGTCACTAGGCTTGCTGGGCCACTAGAATCCTGCTCCACAAGGGCAGGCCTTTTGTAAAATATACAATCTGGAGGAACATAGCAGAGCATGAGCCCACACACAAGACAAAGAAGATGGGAAGGGAAGAGGTACCCAAATATAGGTCTTCAAAACTAACACATCAGATTAAGTCACTCCTCCTTTGTAGGAAGAAAAGAATAAGTAGGTGAGGAGAGGCAAGGAGTGTTTTGCTGGCAGAGCTATCTTTATATTAAATGAATCATTTGAAATGGGCAAGAAGTCCTCCTTTCTAATATATAAGAAATACTATTTATACATTTACATGCATGTCTATATAGACATACTTAAGATTTAAATCACAGTCACATAGGGCATAGAGGAAGAAAAAGGAGTATGGAGGGGAAGAAAGCAGAGAAAAGAAAGAAGAGCAAAGACAAAAACAATGAGAATGAGTACAAAGAAGACCAGGAAAATGAGAGAATATTGGGGAGGCAAAGACACCACTTAGATTAGAATACATATGCAGGTTTCTATATGTTGGAGGTCAGATGTAGACAACAGGCATCTTCAGAACCATTTAGAATGCCATATAAAGAAGTTCAAAAGTTCAAGTATGTGCTAGCATTCTTTAGTATTAATTCTGGCTGTAAGTAATAGGCAGTTCAACACAAATTGGCCTAAAAAAACATTTCTCTTTCAAAACAGGAACTATTCCATGGTTGGTTAATTCAGTAGCTTAATGATGTCATCAGAGAACTAGGTTCTTTTCATCTTTACACTTTACAAGCTATAGCATGCTAGATAGCCCTTATGAGCCACTTTTTATGGTCACAAGATGGCTGCCACAGTTCCAGACATTAAGTACAGGTAGAAATGTCCAGAGGTGAAAATGGACTCATGTGTTTCTGTTCAAGAGTGAGTAAATTGTTCCCAGAAGTTCCTCAAACAGACTTCTCCCAGATTGTGTCCCATATCCAGTCCTAAACCAATAATCTGGAAAGAGGAATGAGACCAATGTGGTTAATCCTATAACTTCCAGAAAAGTGCGAACAAAATTAAGATGCTGTTAGCAAGGAGAAGGCTATTAGGTAGTCAGAGGATTGGGTCAAATATTCACATTCTCCAAGATGTTCTCCTTTTTATCCACCCTTTCTTTATCTAGTGGCCTCCTATTTCTCCCTGCCCCCCCAATAAGTAATTCAGATGAAACAGGTGTACATGTTTCTTCCTACCTTGATATCAAAGACATTCCTGATTCTCGTTCTCATAAGAAATGTGACTGGCAGTGATATTAATTGTGCTGGCTTTGAACTTTATTACTACTGATATGTCTATAATAAGTCTATCTTTTTTCATATAGAATAGAAAACAACTGCTTACAGCAGTTACAATAATCCCTCATATTGCTAAGGATGGTTGGTCAAACCAGTTGTATGGCATTGTATTTATAGGCAAGCACAATCAGTTGTATGGCATTGTATTTATATCCCATCCCAACGATAAAGCATCACATAAATACAGTCTAAGTCATCTTTCTACTTTAATCATAAGATGGAGGGAAGAAGATGGTGAGTGTGTGTATGTGTGTGTGTGTGTGTGTGTGTGTGTGTGTGTGTATTGTACATGTGTATGAACAGATATATTGATATAAAAAAGTCAGACCTTGTACTCTTGATATTTGATTCAATCCCTTTGAGCTTGTGGAACATAAGGTAATTAAGGCAAAAAAAAAAAAAGACGCCATTAGCTTGGTTGCTAGGCAGCCTGCACTCTGCTTTAGACAAGGAAATAGAGCTGCAACAAAGAATCCAGAGCTTATTTTTAAAAAGCCAGATCGAATGCATTCTACCCCCACTTTGCAGGTGTCTAGGCTAGACCTTCATAACCAAAGAATGATGGAAAGTGAGACAATTATCTTCATGTCTCTGATAAACAAACCCCCCATTTTTCTTAATTATTCTGCTCAAAGGTATTTTTGAAGGCAGCTGGTATAGGAGAAAAAGCATATGATAAGGAGTTAGGCAAATTTGGGTTTAAATCGCAGCTCCAGGGGAAAGGTTAATCAATGATGCTAAGTTACAGTTAGATAGGAGTATGGAAGAAGTTCTGGTGTGCTATTGAACTTGTAGGGTGAACTACAGAAAATGAAAATGTGTTGCATATTTCAAAAAAGCTAAAGGAAAGGATTTTGAATGTTTTTCCCATTAAGAAATGATAATGATTGAGGAGATAGAAATGGATACAAACATTATACAATGTATACATGTGTCAAACATCACATGGTACCTCATTAACATGTACATTTTTTATCTATAAGTAAAATATTTAAAAAATAAAAAATAAATCCCAACTCTCAGTCTTACCAGCTTGGACAAATTCCTTGGAGTTTTTTATTTTTCCATTCCCCTATCTGTAAGTCGGGGTGCTGTATCTCCTAGAATTATTGTGACAATTAAATGAAGTAAAATGTATAAAATGACTAGCAGAATGTCTGGCTCACAGCTACCTTCTTTTTCACTTTTTTGCCTTTGAGGCAAGGAAGACCTTGCTGGTGGATCATGACCCAGCATCTAAGTTATACTCTGATTTCAGCTTTCTATACTCTTTTAAGTTTTTGATTACTAGTAGAGGGTCTTTTGATACTTCTAAATTTCAAAATTATTTTGCTTTCAGAATTTTAAATGGTATTTTCTCAGGTAAAATTATGTCATCCAATGTTTGCTGATCCCTGAACTGCTGTTTTTTCCTCCTATTGAGGAAACAGGTAAACAACTATTGAACCATGCACTAAGCACTATGCTGAACTCCAGAGACAATAGTTAAGAAGACAGACAAGGTTTCTGTTAGCAGGCAATTGGATTCCGTTCATAAAAGTCAACTGAGTGCATGTTTTATCAGCTCCATTCAGTGACATCACCTTGGTAGCTTAAAATCAGGCATGGTAGGAATATTTGCATTACAAAATTTGGTAAATGCTACAAATAGGAGCATTTTTCCTGTCATAAAACCATATTAAACATTTACTTTCACATCCCTGCCCATATGAAGCTTAAATTCTAGTGAGATAGACAATAAATGAATAAGCAAATGCATTAAGAAGATGAATGTATTATGCTCTTGCCCATAAACTTTCATTGTAATAGAAATTTCTCTATATAGGTTACATTGCCCATAGCAGTGGTTTGCAACCTCTCTTAATTTATATCTTTGATTCTTTAAGAGGTTAAAAAAACCAAACAAATTATCAAAGGGATGCATGGATACATACACATAGTTTTAAAAGTCAAGAAATGCTGAAAGGCTTATGTCAAAAACAAAATGGTTCTTAGGTCTCCCTCCTATCCTTCATCAAAAGTAACAAATTTCATATCTTTTCTCTCTTTATTCTGGGTTTTACATGTATGTTTCTAAATACTATACCACTACTAGTATCCCTTGATTAGTCAACTTTGAACATTCGTTGTATTTCTAGCAAAGTGGGCAGGGGGAGGAATCCTTAGTCCTTTTTTACTTCCTTACTTTCCCTCAAACCCTAAATATGATTATGTTACAATTTAGTTAAATTCAAAGTGTGTGTGTGTGTGTGTGTGTGTGTGTGTATTTGTGTGTTTTGTGGTACTGGAAATCAAACTCAGAGGCCCTCTACAACTGAGCTACACCCTCAACCCCTGCCCCCCCCCCTTTTTTTGGTACTGGGGATTGAGCTCAGGGGCACTGGACCACTGAGCCACATCCCCAGCCCTATTTTGCATTTTCCTTAGAGACAGGGTCTCAGTGAGTTGCCTAGTGCCTTGCTTTTACTGAAGGTGGCTTTAAACTTGCAGTGCTCTTGCTTCAGCCTCCCAAGCGCCTGGGATTAAGGGTATGAGCCACGGAGCCCATGTAGGCTGGCCTTGAATTTGGCATACTGCCTCAGCATCTGAGTTGTTGGGATAACAAGTGTGTAGCACCAGACCTGTCTCATGTTTAGGTTTTTATTATTTATTTATTTATTTTGTTGTTGTTGTTGTTTTTGAGGATTGAACAAAGGTGTGCTTAACAACTGAGCCACATCCCCAGCCATTTTTTTATTTTTTTATTTTTTTTGAGACAGGGTGTCACTCATTGCCTGGGGCCTTGCTAAATTGCTGAGGCTGGCTTTCAATTTGCAATCTTCTTGTCTCAGCCAACCAAGTGGCTGTGATCTGAGGTGTATGCCACTGTGCCCAGCTACTATTTTTTACATAGTATCTACTATCTAAATATTATTCAGTGTGGAATCCATGTAACATTCTATGGGTTATAATTCATGTCACATATAACTTTTTATTTTTAAACTAAAGTTAAAAATTTACTTACACTAATTGGAATTTCTAAGTCTGCCCACACTTTCTGATAAGGTGGTAAAATCCCCTCAAAACAATTTTTTACATGGTAAAATCTGTTAAATCCTTTATCAATTTGATTTGTTTTCATTGATGCTCTCTACAGTTCTAGTTCAATCTAAGATTATTCTCCATAAGTTGG